CGGCGAAGTGGGGCGACGGCGAATCGGGCAGACGGCGGCGGGGTGGGTCGAGGGATTTGGGGGAGAAGTGATGGTCGGGGGGGGGGGATGGTTTTTTGGTTAAGTCAAACTTAGTGGTAGCGCTTTTTGCGAAACGCGCTATAGCTAAGTTAGCTACAGCGATTTTCACAAAAGGCGCTACTGCTATAGCTATGTAATTTCCTTGATCTTTCTTATTTCCTTTTCTGTTTCTACAGCGGAGGTCTAAGAAACGCGCTGCAGCTATGTTAGCTATAGCACCTCTTACGAACAAACACTACTGCTAAGCATTTCTCCTTTTTTTCGCTTTCTTATTTATTTTACTCTACATTTTATTTTTTCCTTTCTCCTTTTTCTATTTCTTTCTTTTTCATTTACTTTTTCATTTGTTTTTCATTTTATTTTATTTCCATTAGCAGTAGCGCTCTCCGCGCGAAACACGTTGCTACTTATGTCCTAGCGGCAACGCGCTTCCCTCAAGACCGCTACTGCTATGCGTAGCCTATCGTTTTAGCAATGGGAATATTAGTGATAGCGTTTTTTCATGCGCATGCGCTACTGCTACTATTGTATTTGTAGCGCGGTTTACGAACGCGCGCTACTGCTATTTAGCACTAGCGCCCATTTTTGACACGCGCTACTGCTAAATTTTTGTGTATAAGGTTTTCCCTAGTAGTGCTAAGATGCACCCATCCAACACCAACATTCTTCTAACAAAACAAAGAGAAAAGGCCGACATATCGACAAATAGTAATGTCATATAATACCGGCACTATCTCAAAATATTGGATAAAAACTTCTTGGCCACCTGCACCAACGATATTGAAGGCCTCTTTGATTCACAAAAGATTGTCGAAATGTATGTCAAGATTAGAGTGTCACGTTCTGTTCTATCCTAAATGATTGCAAAACTACAAAACTAGATGATACTCCACTTGTTGCTGCGAGGATTGGTTGCAATACTTTTTGATGAAATTTAAAATAAATATAATATATTATATTTGATTATTAAATAGTTGTAAAATATAGTTCGAATGATTTAAGTTGGGATGTGTGCATGTTCAGAGAGAATATAAATAGCAATTGACATGTATGTTAAGAGAAATAATTAGTGGAGTTATGATGTGACATGTGTGGTGAGGTGGTGTGTGTGTGTTGAGAGAATTTAGATAGTGGGATTATACTATAGATGATACCCACATTGCGACGAGAATTGATTGCAATATATTTTAGTGAGATCTGGTTGTATGGAACATGATTGTTTGACTTAATAACATGAGAATCAAAACTGAAAATACATATGATTTAGCACATTAGATTATTGTATAGTTGCAAACTATTCATTGAATAGAATATGTATAATAAAGTGAAAATATTCTTTCATGCATGGTTACGTATTGTGGTGGACCTTTCTTCATACATGGTTGCATGTTGATGTGGGTCTTTTCTCATGCATAGTTGTATGATGAAGTGGCATGCTTTTATGTTGATAAAAATAAGTTAGCGATGATAAACTACTTAGGTATATAGGATATGATGTGGATGAAAGAATGTTTGATAGCATATGAAGACAAAGGGATTATATCAAGAGGTTTGAGTGGATGAAAAATTTCCTCCAAATTAAAGAACGAATTAATCACGTGAAAAAATCCTAAATATTTCAATTATGCGAATCAAACAACCAACATAAAAGATTTTTTTTAGCAAACTGAGCCTAGCTCAGATGGTTAAGTTCTTTGTGGTGAAACCAACCTATCAGGATTCAAGTTCTAGACTTGATATTGATGATCACATTTTTCTGGATTTATTCCAGACTTTCCGGCGATGCTCCTTCAGTGGAAGGAGATGTTCCGGTCGACTACAGAGGCGTCTGTGGTAACTTGGTCAATCTTAAGATGATGTATCGACCTAGTCTCTCAGAGGTGCTTATAGGGATACGTAGGATGTGCATGCGTTCATAGGGCTAACTCTAATACCATGTTTGAGCCACCCTCTCAACAATTAAGAGGTCCATTCGAAGAAAACAAACACTAATTTAAGTAAGAAGTTTCCCCATATCGAAGACTTCTTACTTAAATGAAATTATTTTATCATTTTAGTTGGAGTTGCTGGAATCTTAGGTGGTTCTCGGAAGAAGATAGCAAATAGAGAATTATATCCCTAAAGTAGAAACTATTAGGTACGCTCTACGTCTGTAACGTGTTACAAAAAGGTAGAAAAAATTCTAAAGATTTTTAGATAAGAGGCTATTCCTTTAAAATTCCTTTAAAAGTGAGACACCTTTGGTACTACGAAAGTGAAAATATGCCCCAAGTGAAAATCTAAGATCGTTTAATGTATCTATACCTATACC